TTTTTCAAAAAATCACAGAAAAAAAAAAATTTTTAAAGGTTTTTTTTTTTTTTTTTTTTTTTTACTATCAGAATTAATCTGTTGTCACACACTATACAGTTTTTGGAATAAATCAATTAAACTCTCTTAAGCACTTTTATTTATTGACACCAGTTATAAAGTTTGGGGTTGGAAAGATTTTTATTGAATATTTTAATGGATTTTTTTTAAATACATTTCTTACGCACACCAAGGCTAACACAGCAATACTGTAAAATATTATTACAATTTAGAACTGTTTTCTATTTTAATAATGTATATTTTGAAATGTAAATTATGCCTGTGATGGTAAAGCTGAATTTTCATACTCCAGTTTTTAGTGTCACATGATCCTTCAGAAATGATGATGATCTTGTGCTCAAAGTTTTATTTCTATTATCCATGTTGAAAACAGTTGTACTGATTAATATGTTTGTGGAAATGGTGATACCATTTCTTTAGGACGTTTTGATGAATAGAAAGTTCAACATACAAATGTTTCATAACTTTATTAATCTCTTTTTTACTTTTAAACGGTAGTGTATTTATGTGCTTTTAGATGACCAATTTGTATTTTAGTACATATGAGAATGAACATATGATCACAAGGGAAGCAGGTACAAACCCTTTCTCTGGTTCTATGACAGTGGCTCCAGTGTAGTCCTCCCCACCCTCCGTCCTCACCACTGGCATCACCAGATCCTGCTTCATAGCCTATAATTAAGCCATTGAAAATACATTTTAAGCACAATGTTTGCTAGGTTTGTTATATTAACATATGTTACAAAGAGACATGCACAGACCTGTCTCAGGAGCTGTGAAACCACTTTAATCTGCTGTCCACGAGAGAGCAGGTAGGTCAGGGGCACCCCAGTAACTCTGGCCATTTCCATGTAATTAATGACGCACATTAACTTCTGCAGCAAGCGCAGGGGCAGATACGCATCCTTCAGACAGTACACAGCCAAACGCCTGCGGGTCTGCTCATTCCCATTCTAATAAAAAAAAAAAATAGAGAGAGAGGAAAGACAGTTTTTTGAGGGTTTAGTGGACACCACATGTTTAAGATGGAGCTGAGGGATCTGATTGGCTATAAGAATAGGACAGAGATCTGATTGGCTGCACCTGTAGGTCTGTGATGATAGAATGCTGCACATCCTCCTTCTGCTCCTGCAGAAAATGAAAACTGACGGCGTTTAGTGTGTAAGAGCGTAGTTTATAATCCCTCAGCAACACCTGCAACAGAAAAAAATTGGGTGAGTTACAGCATGTGCAGTCATGAATCAATATGATGACACAATTTGAGAGTTTAAGTGTGCGTACCTGTAGTAGGTCAAACTGCACACGTCCCTCCATATTGACTGTTTTGTTCTCTCTGCGGCCCATCTGCTTGCTCTGGAAGCTGGAGTCTTTCAGGACCGATTTACTGCTCCACACACGACCCAGATATGGGAACACATTCACCTACGGAGAGAGATGATTGACTCAAATATATCATCACCCCTGCCTGAATTAAAATATAAAGCCTTTCTGACATGTGCCACCACTAATCCCACTGGGTTTGTGTTCACTTCCCATCACAAAAGACAGTACCAGTACTAAAAATAGTAAATAATCTTGGTGTGAAAACATATAAAAACATATATAAAAAAAGTTGCCTTTAAGGTTGCAGCTCTGTTGAGGAGGTACGGAAGGTCAAAGTTCTGGATATTGTAGCCAGTGATGATATCAGGATCCACTGTCCTCACAAACTCAGCCCAACTCTGAGATAATCACACATACACATTTTTATTATTATTGCACCATGTAAATTTACATTTGAAAGAAAATGCACATGTAAGCATTTCAGTGCAAGTATAGTTCTGAGAATCTGTGAGTATGAACCTGCAGTAGCAGTTTCTCTTGCGTAAAGCAGAGAATCTGGGAGCCCACTATACTGGCACAGCTCTGTAAGGTGAAGACCGTCCGGATAAACGGCTCCTTCTCTCCCTGACGCTGCACCATAGAGGCGATCTGAATCACAGGATCAATCTCCGGCTCTGGAAACACGCCTGTAACACACACAAACAGTTCAGTTATTTACACAGCAGGATATAACACAAAAGCACAAGCACACAAGTGGCACATTGTGGCTACTACTTACTACTTAGAATTAAAAATAAATAAATAAATAAATAAAAAGCTGTTCAAATAAAAAAAAAATATCAAAAACCCAATTAGGTAGAAATGTAGTTGGGTGGAAACTATAAATCAGTGGTATAACATTTTCAATGGTATAAAATGTGTTATTAGGTTCGGAAAAAAGGTTTAGTGTAGATTATTTGATTCGGAAACAAAAAGTACTTGTAACATTTCTTAAATAATTTAACAGTAAAAACGCTTTGAAATGTTTTTCTAATTAAATACAAAAAATATATTTGATATTTAAAAAAATATATTATTATCTGAAACCATTCAAATTTGAACTTGTGGATTGCTAAATGTAACCCTGGATCACAAAACCAAAGGGTCAATTTTTTTAAAATTGAGATTTATAAGTTGAGCAAATAAGCTTTCCATTGATGTATGGTTTGTACGGATAGGACAATATTTGGCCGAGATACAACTATTTGAAAATCTGGAATCTGAGGGTGCAAAACAATCGAGAGAAAATCACCTTTAAAGTTATCCAAATGAAGTTCTGAGCAATGCACATTACTAATCAAAAATTTTGTTTTAATATATTTACAGTAGGAAATTTACAAAATATCTTCATGGAACATGATCTTTACTTAATATCCTAATGAGTTTTGGCATAAAAGAAAAATCGATCATTTTGACCCATACAATGTTTTTTTGGCTATTGCTGCAAATATACCCCAGCGACTTAAAGGGGTCCTATTATGCTTTTTCACTTTTTAAAT